CTTTTTTTCTTTTTTTTATATATATATATATATATATATATATATATATATATATATTTTCATATTTTGGCTGGAAACAATATTTTAGACGTTTCTAGCAGTCGAGAACATCGAACCTGTGAAATTAGAATACGTTGATAGGCTTTCTTAGGCTCAATTAATTAGAGTTTTGATAATTCAGTTAGGCTTTCTTAGGCTTGCTTCTAAGGTTGCCACTAAACAATCTGATATTTGTTGTAGGACGAAGTTGTGAAGTTATCTCCTCATGCTCGTGCCATCAGAGATGTGGAGGACGAGGAGCTCCGGAGCTTTTTCTATGGAATGTCTGCGTGGCAGGTAAATGAGCCAAAATTTTGGTTAGAATTTTCAGTAGTGTCTTGGAGAGAGCAAGAACCAACTGATGCACTTGTACCTCAATCTTGCAGTTTATACTAGTCGTTGCTGCAAGCTCAGTGGGAGAGGAGCTTTTCTACAGGGCTGCCGTTCAGGTACATATCATGGAATTTCTAATTTTGTGTTTGATTTAGAAAAAAGATATCATATTTGTTATATTTTGCGTTTTATCACTCTCTAACCGTATCTTCTTCTGTTTTAACAATATAAGACTCCTATATTTATACTAGATGTTTGTTCTTAACTGAAGGGTAATCTGTTAGATAGTGTTTTCTAAAAGTTGTAAGAACAAAACTTTAGCTTAAGAAAAGTGTAGCATAGTTGGAATACTTGATAACTCTGAGGTGCTTGGAAATGGGCCTTGCTCGTTTCTGTTCTCTTTCTATAAATAAGAAGTTTCACGCATAAAAATTTCCTCTGCTAGGTGCATACTCATTATGATTCCTTTACTTTATATAATTATTGTTTTTTCTTTTGTAAATTTATAGGGAGCATTGGCTGAAATATTTTTAAGGGGCACTGATCTGGTGTCGGATGCTCGAGGAATGGCATCTTTGGTAGATAGCTGTTCTTTTACTTTTTTCCTCCACCATCAGTATTCAGTAGCAATGAAAAATTTAATGATGACCTAATTTTATCATGGCAAATTGTAGACGGGAGTTCTTCCGCCATTTGTTCCGTTTGCTCAGGCATTTGCGGCTGTTATAACAGCTGCTCTAACCGGTTCACTGTACTATGTGGCTGCATCTCCAAAAGGTGATTAGCAGATCAATTTTAACTAATTCTAGTTTGGGATCGTTCATCGTTGCAAGTTTTTTACAGACCCTGTTTTGTAAGTTTATTTACGGGTTTCTTATGTTTCTTACAGACCCTGCTTACGTAGTTGCACCAGTTTTACCATCCCGTGCTGGTCGTGAAGATCTAAGGAAGCTTTTTGCAGGTTCCACCCTTACCCTTCCCTATGAATTTAATTTCATCATCTTTCTTCTCATGTTTGAATATGCTTGTTCGATTTCGTTGTTCACAGCATCCATACCAATCTTCTTGACTAGCTACTGTTTTGTCGCTTTATATTTTGTCACCTGATCCTGTTTCTGTGGCAATGTTCGAGTCTTGAAGTGCTTTATGCATTGCGTTTGTTTGGTTTTTCTTTTCGGGCACCTCATAACAGCCTTCTTGCTTGGCGAGATTTAGGATTTCTGTTTTTTGCTTGGTAATATTTGGTAAACTTTGACCAAAAAAATCTAAAACTATGGGCAATGCTGAGCAAGGATTATATAATAATTGGTTGTGACATGATTCATTTGTTTGCTGAGCAATGAGCATACAACGAATATGATTCATTCTCTCAACGCAACATACAACTTATTTCAATCTGGTGAACATTATGCAGCCTGGTATAAGAGGAGGCAAATGAAGAAGATTTATTCTCCGCTACTTGAAGGACTTCTCGCTCTCTATCTCGGTTTCGAGTGGATTCAGGTAACCTTCACCCCGGTTTTGGTTTTTGTTTTTGTTTTTTGCTCAAGTATTTTCAAGATTTCAAAGTCGACATCTTGGTTTTAATTTTTCTCCATGCAAATTCAACAGACGGATAACATTCTTGCACCCATAATCACACACGGCATATATTCTGCGGTCGTATTGGGACATGGCCTTTGGAAGATACATGATCATCGGCGAAGACTACGCCAAAGAATCCAACAACTTAAATCAGAAGGAAAAAATCAAATAAATCAAGGCGTTCGAAATTGGGAATAGCTAAATGTGGAGGAGCTTTGTAAATTACGTAGCAGAGCAAATTATTTGAACCAGGGGCAACTTTACAATATAGGGAATTAGGGATTTATATCATAATGTCAAAAAAACAATGTATACTACCATAAGATACGTAGAATTTTAGCTCTTACCAAGTATCAATGCAATTGTAGATTTTTGAGCTTTTGTATATCCATAACTTTTATAATATGAAAGGTAACAAAAAAAAAAAGGGAAAAAAAGTTGCTAAGACTGTTCACTGTTCCCACGCTCTCAAGCATGATAACATTTCATTCTTTTCAAACGGTTCATGTTTGGATTGGGCGGGCAGATAGAGAAAGATGAGTTAAATCATAGGCCCGTTTAGTTCGCTGATTCGAGTTTTTAATTCGAGTTGAGATGTGATTTTATGTGAAAATTTTTTACTGTAGCAAAAAAGTTAGATGTGATTGTTTGTGAGAGTTTTTTACTGTAGTAAAACTCGAATTCTAAACTCAAATCAGCGAAATGAACGGGACCATAAAATGAAAAACAAATAGATTTAAAGCTAAAAGCTTTTAGTCCTAAATTGCGAATTACTCTGCTTGGTGCTTGGTTTGTTACATGTTAAAAGTTAAACCTGTGCTAAGCTTTAAATTTTGGTCAACTTTTCTTCAAGTAGAGCTCAGCTTGTCCCATTTTGGGCACGCCAAACTCTTACGTTCTCCCAAAACACAAACTCAACAGAGAACACAAAAACATAAAGGGCCTGTTTGTTTGATATATTCAAAATTAAATCATTGATTCTACTGTACAGTTTTCTTCTCACAAAAAATTTAAATTTCAAACGCCAAAATCAATAATCATGATTTGAGTATACTTTCTAAACGGGTCCTAAACTCAACAGGCTGCTAAAGACGCGGACTAAAAAATAAATAAGGATCGGTTAGGAGGGAGTTTAGCCATTTAAGCAAAAGTGGGATTTAAGTATGCATACATTACAATCTTAATATGTGTAACCTGCCCAGTGCATAACACACCCACTTACTTAGATAAGCTCAGTATATAGCGTAAATTGGCCTTGTCGATCAGAAAAGTAGCTATTATTTCCATGATTTGGAAGTATTATTAGCGTATGGTTCGGATTATCAATCTTCTAGCTGAGCAATAATGCTGACGAATACACGGTAGCCTTGGGACATGTCGGAAAAGAGGCAGTATTCGTTCTTGGCATGGTATGTTTTCATTAAACCTGCATATGCACGCAAGTGGAATGAATCAGGAGTCTAACATCTATTGTATATAATCAACTGAACTAATCAGCAGTATTAAGAAGGATTGCTGAATTGAAAATCAAATCATTTTGCAGCTGACTTCCTTAAGTTGTTATTAAGCAGCTGGATAACGACCGGAAGAACATTTAGGCCTTGTTTGGAAGGAGACAAGGAGGGAAGTGGAAGGAGGATATGGGTGGGACGATTAAAGATCTAAGGTGTTTGGTATGAGGATTATTGTTATGGTTCGAATCATAATTCGTTGCTCGCTACAGTATTTTTTCTCACAAAAAATACACATAAACCGAGAATGGTTCTGAATCATAGTTCTGAATCCGTGAACCAAACGTCCACTTAATAGTGTTGTTTTTCAGAGGGATTAGAGGAGAGAATAGATTTGGGTGTGGTATACATAATCCTCCACAGGACTCCAAATTTCCAAATTCGATCCTTGAAAGGTTAAAAGGAAAGTTCCTCTCCTTACTCCCCATTTTCCTCACCTAGGTTATATACCTTTCCTTCCAAACGATTTTTCTTTCCCCTTACCGAACACAGCGTAAAGAGTTTGGGTTTCTCCTTTCTACTAAGATGCTGTTTTCTAACTTCCAAACACATGGAAGGTATGCGAAAAGGGAAGCACCAAAGGGAAATGGACAGTGATCTCATTTTAACTACACCTCTTTCATACTTTTCATTGTTGGACAACAAATTGAAAACACAACGACAACATAATGACAGCAGTGTGGAAAGGGAAATATAACTAGATGGACTCATATAGCTTCTATATTGACACTAAGCCAAAAGACTACTTACAAAAAATAAAAATAAAAATGTTCAGTGAGAAAAAAATCAAGACTTGTTTTATGCCAAAGTCTTGAGTTGCATGTATAATAAGATTGGTGGGGAGGGGGAGTAATAGTATCAAACCATAGCCAGAAGTTTGAACATCAAAACCTTCCTCCTGCCAAAAAAAAAACAACATATGAAATAAATAAAAGAAAAATCACTCAGAAAGAAAAAGACGAAGCCATATAATAGTAAAGATAGCTAACCTGCAGTTCTCGGATTAGTGGCAAACTTCCAGTAATGGAGTAAGGCTTCACATACCCAACTACCTCTTCAGTCGCTTTACACAACACTTGAAAGCCGCAAGAATTGAGATTACAAGCAACTCCAGACATTGCCTCCTCAAAACTTATTGTCAGGCTGAAAACTCACAAGTAATATACATATAATATATATGTGTGTGTGTGTGTGTGTGTGTGTAAGAACAAGATTTAGTTTCTCCAAGAAGTTCTGGGCAAAGTTAAAAGGGAAAAAAAAGAAGAAGAAGCAACCAAAAAAACATTTAAGAGCTGAAGTGGTGGCTGTTGTGTTGACAAGAAGACAGGTGATTTCAAAGAGACCTATGACATAACCTAAAGCGGGTTTGAGTAAACCAATTTCTAATGAGGATAAAGCCAGAGTTTTTAGAAAGCGAAAGTTCCAAAAATTAGGAGAGAAGAGAGATCAGACCTTCCCCGCAGGTTTTCTTCTGGTAGGACATACTTCGAAACTGGACCCCTTGACTCTAGCTTTCCTATGTTTTCATTAATATCATCCACATATTCTTGTAGCTTTTTCATTACATCCTTAACACTGAAACAGAATTGACAGATTGAAAATTAGAAAGGAGCCCAGACAATATCTTCAATCAGCTTCTTACTGTGAAAGTTTGTTAAACAGAAAACCGGGATTTGAGCAAGAAACAGAAAACCGGGATCCTTTACTTGTAGAATGGCGTTAGCCTGCGAAAGACGATTGAAAAAGCGTAAGATGCCAGAAAAAGGAGCTATAAATTCTTGTTAATGCCTGAACAAGAAGTTATTAAGAGGATTATAAACCTGACATCTCCAGAAATTGTACACTCCCCTGGAATTTGATTGATTCCACCTCCCGGATCTGCAACCAAAAAAAAAAAAATCACAAAAAAAAAAAAACAAAAGAGCATCAGAAAGTGCACATACCCCTTTGCCCAAAAACTCTCAAAATAAGGTCAACTTACAACTCCATTGAGTTGGTTTCATGGTTGAAGGTGTTGCATATCCATAGACCTGTTCCTTAGGATGGGGAGGAAAATCCCTATAGAACCGTGTCTGGATCTCTTTGAGTGCATCCATGGCTAATTCCAAAGGATTTATAGCCTGCAGACAATCGGCAAGTGCCTTTATAGGAGAAATATACATAGGAACTGGACAAACAATTGTTCTAAAGATGGGATCTACACTTCTAAGTTGTGTTCAAAACCAGTACCTATTCTTACAAATTCTCAACAGTAAAAAACCAATCAAATAACGACTGTCATCTTGTACTAAGAAGTTATCTGGACCTGTGCGAGGTCGATACTGGCATAGCACCAATATTTATGCGGTTCTTTTACACTCAGATGGAAAGGTGCTAAAATATGAGCCCACTTTCGCTAAAGCGTATTCAGAAATAATTCATAGTATCAAAGACACAAAAGTTTCTCTCTCTCTCTCTCTCTCTCTCTCTCTCTCTCTCTTCACACACACAAAATTGTAAATTTGTAACAATAATTAATCATAATGAGACGGTGAGAGAAGCTGCAACTCTAGCAGTCCATAGCTCAAGGGCAAATGATGGCCGTGGAAACCAGTTCAAGTAGCTCTGAGGCCATGGGCACAAGCTAGAGTTCCAATGCAATGGTTAGAGAAGTATCACCCATTTTTAATTCCCATAAGCTAGTAAAGTGCTTCTGCCTTAAGGCGAGCTATAAGCATTTACTCTTGGTAGTATTTGTGTCCCTTATGGATACTTGTCTTATTCACTCATTGATTTAGACTAGGGAGGTTTAATAGGCAAACAAGTATAGCAAAGAAGTGCTGCCCTTAACGGTCCGTTACAAAGTTCCGATATGATCACGCACCCTCTCGTTACCTCAGTTATATCTGTTTTATAGCAAACATGTACATACCAATTCGCATAATTTGGAAATGAGCACCAAAAAGTTGCTAAAATGTCACTAGAAAATTATGGTGTACCTTGTGTGCCAAACCACTGTGAAAAAGCTTCCCGGTCACATGAAGCTTCCACGGTATCATACCACCAGTACCAATGCATGGTTGCTTATCTGCTGTGTCAATCCAAAATCTGCATTGACAATCCATTAGTAATGACAATGAGTCTAAAAGATATTTTACCTTTCCTGTTGGGTCTTATAAGAAATAATCAATACTTACAAAGGACCATCTTTTAGCTTATTGAGTAGTCCATCTTTCACTAGTGCATCCACACCAACCCCTGTAATGGCAGAATTCTCCTCATTTGCTATAAACACTGCAACTACAGTTGACTTCAATTTCGGCTTTGTTTCCCCTAGCTTCTTCATGAGCTCGGTCACAAGTGCAACATGTCCCAAGCAATCGGTAGTTCCACGCCCACGGAGTTCATCCCCGTTGATGCTCAATGAGAAAGGGTCAAATTCCTGCAAATCAAAATTATCATATATATTACATTTGATCATCTTTAATATCCTAACAGCAGGTAAACTAGATTGCTGCTCAATTGTAAAACTTGAGTAAGGAGAAGGAAGCCAAAAACTTTAATGTCAACAAACCAAGCAAAAACTTGATTATATTCAAAAGTAATGTGAAATGGGAAGCCTTTAGAATTCATAACATTCTAACCAACTAACTAAGCATTAGAGATAAGCATAGATAATCAACTGACAGAAAAAGAGTGAGGTTTTCACATGATTCAGGAAGAAAATAAAAATATTCCCAAGTAAGGAATTACCGTATGTTTTCAGAAATGTTGTACTTATCCTATATGTCTTATAAATCGTGTTAAAACTTTCCACGATGTGTTCTAGGAAGATTTTTAACATAATTCCTAAGTTTTTAACACGATTTGTAAAATATAGGGAATAATTGTAACAAGATTAGAGAAAACATTAACACGATAAACTACAAAAAAAAAAAAAAACAAAAAAAAAAAATTCTAATTTCCACAGACAGAAATACAAGTACAAAATTTTTTGAGAAATCGCATATAATAGACTATTGTGAGATGCAGAAAATTTAAAAGCTTAAAGTTTAGCGTGCCAAGGTTCAAGTGTGCTCTTTGAGCATCCAGAATCAAACGACAACGCGAAATGCCAAACGACAAAGAAGAAGAACCCAAAAACAAAACACAAATTGGCTTGCGATCAACTCTATTAAGGTTTCTAGAGGCCAAATCAAACGAACCCAACAAAATATTTCGACGAACTAATTAGAAAGAAAGGAAGGACGAGAATGAAGGAAACGGACCCAATCATTGGGATTGGCAGTGACGACGTCCATGTGGCATCCGACAAACGACAAGACCTTGCCGGGGTGTGTGCCGGGGTACTCGACGATGAGGTTTCCTCTGCCGGGGAAGTAGGTGACATGGCTGACGACGAGAGGTCCGCCGCCGGTGGTGGTGCTGTAAGGGAGGAGGGAATCGAGTACGTGCTTGACTATGCGGTCCTCCTGTGGGATCAGCTCCGGTGGGTTGTTTTGGACGTACTTGGACTCGCCTATCAGCTTCGAGAGGAGGGGGACGAAGGATTCCCTTTCCAGGTCGCCCAGCGTTTCTTTTACGTGGGAAGAGGCAGCCATGGCTCCTCTGTAGATTGATGAGAGAGAGAGAGAGAGAGAGAGAGAGAGAGAGAACGGGGCTTTGGAGTGTCGTCTATGAAGTAGCGGAAAGGTAGTTCTTCCTTCTAAATTTCTAAGCAAGGAATAAAAGCAATTTGTGCAAAAGCTGAAAAGATCACCCCTTTTTAAGATTTTTTTTAAGAGAGTTCTGTAATCTTAATTTTTAACCGCATTTAAATTAAAAAAAATATATACAGTATAAATAGATTTTAATGTAGATTTAATAGTTAAAAAATAAAAGACTATTGTAATATATTTTTACAGGACTGCAAAGTCTTCTTTTTTTTAAAAAAAAAACACATATTTTGTTAAATTAGAAAAATAATAATTTGTTTTGAAAAAATTAATTAACGATGAAATGATTTTTGATAGTTAATCACTAATTAACTTTGTGGCGTCCGATTTCTAAGTGATTAAGCAATATTAATTAATAATTTATCAATATATTAGATCGTTGGTGAATGAATGACTGACTATTATAACTTTTATTTTTTTTTACTCTTTTAACTAAAAGAAAAGTTATGCTATTAATTAAAAGGGATATAAGGCTAGATAGCTCATCTATAGCCCCTATTTAAGTCCATGGCCAATCTTTTCTACAATTAGACTCATGGTCGTTTTTACAAAATTAAAGATCTGGAAAGACTCATAGTTGAATGGTTGTTCTTGATTCTTTGAAGCGGTTTGGAGTGTCATATGAGAAGTAGCTTCTTCTCAGAGAATCTCCAATCCAACGCCAAATAAAGAAAAAATACAGATAGAGTTTTAACTAAATCCTACGTTTGTCTTTAAAAGGTATAATGTATTTTTTTTTAAAGGTAAATGTGTTCTAAATCAAAGAGATATAAACACCAATATTAACTCAAATGATCTCGTAATACAAGCGAGTTTAACCCCAACCACTGATTGTTACCACCGGTAAGTTCTAATGAAACTCCTAAAGGGAGCAAGCGTGCACCATACTCTAACAACGGAAACCTGAAAAGGCATGCTAACAATCGAGCACACGTACGGCTCTTTATACAGCTCATCTACAATCTATGGAAGGCTTCGATTGATTGAGACTAAGAGACTAGTAAACCAGAGGTCATCCACAGCACCGCTAAGAACAAACTCAAGCGGGCCGAACACAAAGCTAAAAAACAAGGGAAATTGTAATAAACAATAGATTTATGAAACTAAATTAAGTAAATAGCATGTTTTAAAACTATTTTAAGTAAATAACAGTTTACCGTCATAAATGTTTCATTTACAATTTATAAAAATTAAGCAAAACCTGAACAAGCTAACTCTTGAGAATATAGAAAGACGTATGAATAAATTTGAAGTTCTCATAAACATGCCACATTGCTCTAGAGCTTCCATAATATACTGAAGACATCTTGGCTGCCTAGAGGATTAATTCATACGGAATTGCAACCTTCAGTTCAAGTGGTTTTCTGAATTCTTAGTTTTGCTGAAGTGGAACTCTTCTAGAGCTAAAAATATTGATAAGATGCTTTAGGGAAGATTTATTTTATTTTTATTTTTCTTAAATGAAAGAGATGCGCATGGTTAATTATTTAGTGCCCCATGTACACCGATGGAATTACAAGGTTTAAACTCAATTGGTTTTTGCAAATTGAAATTCCTTATCTATAACACCAAATTAATTGAAGCTACGCAATTTTTAGGTGGAGTACTCATCAAACTATAATTCGATCAAGAATCATGTTTTTGGTGGTTATAATTGAACCATTAACGTTTATGCTAAATAATAAATAAATATTTATTGGATTGTAATATTATAATTAGCTAGCTGGTCAGTACACGGATTAGCTATATCCTAGGGAACTCGAAAATGTATTTCGTGTCGGTTTACAAACTTTCATCATTCAAAATTCGCAAAAGTTGTCGCATTCCTTTTAAAATTTACAAATCTTAACTCCAACGTTTGAAGTTTGCAAATTTCAATAATGGAACCATAAAAAAATTCCCTCCACATTACCACGACTACCTCTATAGATCTGCAAGCAATGGTTTAGCGAACTTAAAAGAGTAGCTAGTTAATACATACTGAAAAGTTGAGAAATTGTATGTAAATATTATTGCCACTTGACAAGTCACAAAGGGAAAGCTCACCGTGTTTTGGAATTATTCCTATTAACTCATCATGATATCCTTCTCTCTTTGATGTCGAAGTTTAGACCGCTCACAGTAGTTCTACCTATAGAAAAGATCATGAAAGAGGCGATCAGAATGGTACTCGAATCCATTTATGATCCCGAGTTTCCAGACACATCGCACTTCCGCTCGGGTCGAGGCCGCCGCGGATTAATGCGAAAGAAGCGGGGAATTTTTTTACTTTCACATCCCACTACCAAATAGAGGAAAGGACCCCACCTCGATAGTAGGCTTTGAAAGACCGACGCGCGCAGTGGAATTAGTAATAGGGCATAGTGGAACTAGGAATAGCTGTAGGAAAGGGATTCCTTCGTCAGGAGAGCTGGCACTAACTAATAAAGAAAGGATAGTAGGCTTGCTTGGCCAGTTCCGGATTCTACTTTTATGTGTGAAAGAGGAAAAAGCAGAAAAGATTCGGGAAGATGCCCACAATGAGGTCTGTGGTCCCCACATGAATGGGAGAATTTTGGCCAAAAGATCATGAGGCTAGGCTTTTACTGGATAACAATGGAGAACCATAGGAGGTTGCGGGAACATGGCTGCAAGTGGACTGGGTTTATGTGGTTCTGCTGACTACGACCAAAGTCGCGGCTACTTCAACCAAAAAAAGGGCTACCCCCTATTCAAACCGAAAGAAGTACCTCACCTCACTTACGAAGAAATAGTTGTTGATTGCACGAGCTAGCCAGTCAATCCCGCCGTTTTCTTGCTTGGTGCGCTAGTGCGCCTGACTTATAAGTAGGCGTTTTCTTCGCTGGGTTAGATTCCCGATCCACTCATCTTCAAACGCGGCTTCCAGTATCGGGACAAAATGGGTTTGGAGATAAGAGAGAGGAAGTAGGCTTTAGAGAAAAAGTCCGCTTTTGCTAATACTTCTCTTTCTCTAGTGGCAGCTGCTTCTTCAGATTCGGCATCTGAAAGAGTTGAAGTTGAACAGGTGCACTCACACACTCGCAACTTACTGGTTTGCTGACGGGCTTTGGCTCCTTTGCTTGCTTGGTACTCTTTTTCTTGCTACTGCTTCGCTGGACTGATAGCGCACTGAACTCCATCAGGCCCATCTGGGGACCTTTTATCCTTTCTTCCAGTTCTTTCGGGTAACGAGTACGCCCCGACCCGAGTCCCCACGTCCGCTCTTCTCCGCCCGCAACCCAAGAAGTTGGCAAAGCCAACACAACATTAGGGCGCAACAAAATTCAGAAAAAGTTTAAACTCAAGTTACAATTTTATTTAAGTTCACGTTCTTTTAAGTTCTAATTTTATTCAACTTTACTTAACTTTATTCAAATTACAACTTTAACTTCTTTGTTTTCTGTAACACAAAAATGGAAGTGTCACTGTTGGAACAGTCAATTTTGGTTTTACAAGATAGGAGAAGAAAACAAAGGCGTCTTCTGTATATGCTGTTTCAGAATCCAAAGATCGATCAAGATAAGAGAAAAAAAATTGCAATGATCACTGATTGGTGACTGGGAATCCGAGCCCATGCACTGACCACGACTAAACCTCGAAACCCACTTTCCACACGCATTGTTTTAACCAATCCCACCCACCTTAACCCCTCTCGGGACACTTGCGCTTTGTTTTTAACTGTCCGAATCTTGGTCGATATATATAATTACTCAGTTTGTCAGGTATGGCTAAGAAATTACAAAAAGAAATCAGAAAATTATGAGTACGTTAAGAATTTATTTTTAAATGATTTTTTTTTTGTATAAAAATAAAAATAAAAACGTTTTTAATCTCAGATATAAATTATTTTTAAAAATACGTTTAGTAATTTTATTAAGAGATTATTTTCAGTATAAAAAAATTCATTAATATATCTCTCTCTTTGCTCGAGAGAGGAGAAAACAGAAACAAAAAATGAAAAACGACTAAAAGTCATTTTTTATTTCTCTCTCAGTTTACATTAAATCAAAAAATTATTTTTATTTCTATTTTTTTCTTTAATTGTGTCGAATGCTGTTTTTCTCCCGTTATATGTTTGCGGGCCGAAGATCTAGTACTATTAGGGCGGGGCCTTTTTTGTTTCTCTCTCTGTTTTTTTTTTTCTTTTGAATGGGAGGTAGATGGCGGGTGGGTGGCGGACAGGTTGAAAACAACAAATAAAATATTTTAAAGGGAGAAAGAGAGAAATAGACTAAGATTTGAGATAAATTAAAATTAATAGGCTAATAGTTTACATAAGTTAATAAATAGGCCAAATTACTATTTTCGTCCATAACTTGTCTAGTTATAAACTATAACTTGACAAGTTATTCACGGTTTTTGTCCATAACTTGTCTGGTTATGAACCATAATTTGACAAGTTTGTCCATAACTTATCTAGTTATGAACCATAACTTGACAAGTTATAGTCTATTAATTTTTATAACTAAAAATTAGTCTATATACTTTCTTAAAGTTTTCATATTAGCATATTTTATACTATTTTTATATTTTAAAATTGAAATCCAAAACCGACCCGAACCGCAGACGGGTCGGGTTGGGAGTTTTTAGGCCAACTAGTTGCCTTCGTTGTTGTTGTTGTTGTTGTTGCCAATTTTTTGCTTTTTTTTTTGTTTTTTTTTTTTTTTTTTTTTTTTTTTTTTTTTTTTTTTTTTTTTTTCTAGAATTTGTAGTAAACAGTCGTCCGGATCTCTTTATTTTACCAAAAGGTCATTTTTTTAGGTTTAATTTTAAAATTTGAAAGGTGTAACAATTATTTTTATTATTATTATTTTTTTTAAGAAAATCAACGCAAAAAATAATAATTTATGTTGGGCAGCGTCTGACGCAATTGCAACAACATTAGAGACTCTAACTATCATCACAACAAGAAGCTCCATTAATTCCCATGGTGGCTCACGATTTTTGGTATTTCGTTTAGCTTCACAGTTTTTTGGGTCGTCCGTTGCAGCTCAAGTCCAA